CTTACCTAGTCGGACTATTTGTCCCAGGTAAACATATTCGTCAACAACTTCGAGCTTAGTGCTCCCAACAACTACCGGCATAGGTGTGACATGGACATTAAACATGTTTTTTGTTTTGTCCGTGTTCATCTTAAGATCTATAGGTCTGAAGTTCATCTTAAGACCTATAGGTCTTAAGATGAACATGGACAGTAGTCTCAATAGTGTCTCCCAACGTTGAGGTCATTGAGCATAGTGCTTATGTCCTCTAGCGATTCTGCCTTAAGGACTATGTCGTCGTCAAATTGAACGTGAGTGATGTATTCACCATTAACGTTAATACCGTATCCTTTCCAATCCAGTAGCTTGAAAACGTCTTCCAATGCAGCGGTGAAGAGTTTCGGGGATATAACGTCACCCTGTCTTACACATCTCTGCAGTTGGATAGGTTTCGTGCATTGGTTCTGTACTCGGATAGTCATCGTAACCCTACTGTACAAGCATTTCAGCACTTCGATATAATAACAGTCCACTTGGCACCGCTGAAGGGACTGCAGCACCGCCCAAATTTCGACGGAATCAAAGGCTGTCTCATAGTCCAAATACGTAAGACAAAGTGGCAGATCGTACTCTACGGTCTTCTGTACAATTTGCCAAAGGGTATGTATGTGGTCTATGGTGTTAAAGCCTTTTCGGAAAACGGCTTGTTCAGCAGGCTGGAAGTCTTCGAGTCTGCATGCGAGATGATTCGTAATGACTCTCGAAAACAACAAGTAGACGCGGCTCAGAAGGGAAATCGGTCTGTAGTATTTCAAGAGATCGTTGTTGCCTTGAAGAACAAGGCCACTGCACTTCTGCTCTACGCATCCGGAGTAGTACCTCCATGAAGTACGGAATTAAAGAGCTTCTGAAGGACGTTAAGTACCGGTTTTCCACCCGCTTTAAGAAGCTTCGCTGTAATTCCAGGTGTTGGAGAGCCATTCTAATCTCGCTCAGGCTGACGTTTGGGATATCATCGGAATAGTGTCGGATAAGACTTGCTCTTGGATCGTTACTCACACTTGCTTGTGGCTCTAACGATGAAGTATAGAGCTGCCCATAGAACCTCTGAATCTCACTCAATATCTCAAGTGTCTCGGAAACGATGCTGCCACATTTGGTCTTCAACTTCAACAGTTGGCTCTTTCTGACAGACATATCTCTGGCAAAGACTTTGGAGCCCTGGTTCCGCTCAATCACTTCTTTAATACGAGCAGTATTAAAGTTGCGTAAGTCCCACCGCATGCATTTAGATATCTATCTGTTCAGTTGCCTGTATGCTGTCAAATCTACTGAAGACTGCAGCTTTATCTCCCGTCTAACAGCCATGAGATTAAGAGTGTGATCGGAGAGTTTTTGTGTTCTTCTGCGGCGGGTCTTGCAAAACTTAGCTCCGACCGCATGGACAGTTTCCACGAGCTTGTCATTCATATCGTCCACTGCATTGCAATCTTCTAGGCACTGAAAACGGTTTTGTAGCTCGAGCTGAAAGGTTTCGGGACTTTGGAACAGAGCACGAGGGGGACGGAGCGTTCACTTCATTAGACGTGACCTCTCCAACTTAACGTTTAGGTTCAGTGTGCCTCTCACCATTCGGTGATCGCTGCCGGTTTTCACCCTCGCGATTGCTGAGACATCACTGAACAGTTGTCGTCTGGTTGTCATAATGAAGAAAATCTCATTTTTTGTCGAACTGTTGGGGCTCGACCAGGTCCATTTCCTGTGCTGAACAGGTTTTTTGAACACTCTCGATTAAGACACATTTCAAACGAAAAAAAACTAAACCAAAATCGGTTCATCCGTTCAGGAGCTATGATCCCACAGACAGACGCACAGATACACACTACAAACGTAATACCCCTGTTTTCGTTGGGAGTTAAAAATAACTGAAATTAATCATAGTTTGTAATCCTTGATAGTATCTCTGCGAATCACAAGCAAATTCTGTGACTCAATACGTTTTTTCTTAGTTTGGCTATATCCCTTAATTGCTGGCTGTATAATTACGATGAGCGTTTTTCATACATGACTTTTCATCACAAATAAGGCAAGCCACATACGCAACCGCTACCCCACGGCAATTAGGAATGTGATTATAGCTCACAATTGAGACAGTTATTATGGGATTTTAATTCTATTTTCTTAAAAATATTTCCACAGATGCTAGAGTTACATAAATTATAAAACCATGTTGGACAAAGTCACGGCAATTACTTATTTTCTTTATAGTCTAAGCTGCACATAGATATAGTGATAATTTTATTTATTCTATTTTCTTTAAAAATATAAATCAATAGTATATCCCTTCTGATTATCTCACGATCTTTCTATGAAGTCATGTTTAGACGTATTAATAAATTACGTAGAGCAAAGAATCATCACAGTCTCGTGCGAACTCTTGCGCAACAGGCCGCACAGACGACCACGCCTTCACATGCAAGCCTAAATATATAATAAGGTAAACTATTACATAAAATTTTAAGTTATATTTTCCATTAGTTGTCATTTTATATACTTTAATCAATAATTGTACACTTAAATTAAAAACAATATTTTATAAAATCAATTTTATTACTTACATATTTATTTTTATTTCATTCAATTCGATAATAATAGTGCAAAAAACACTTTTGTGAAATAATATAAAGTTAGTTAAAGTTAAAGTTACAGCCTATATTTTTTGTGAAATAATATAATACTTAATATTTATCAATACGAAATATCTTTCTGAAATTCAATATAAATCATTTTTTTTAATGTTAAAGCATTTATTTGTAAATTGCATTTATACTTTTAAATGTAGCTACATAATATACGTAAGCAACAGTATGTATTAGGTAAATCATTTGAGAAAAAATATTTACAAAGATCCAACCAATTAAAAATACTATATCCATGTATATAATCATAAAGTTGAATTGAATAGGTGTATCGATGGTATGCTAAGTTATTTTTTATAATTCTTGTATCGGTAATTATTGTCCTTGAATATAAAATTTAAGACGAAAACGTCAATGCAACAATATGTAATAGTTTAGTTTTGCTTCTATAAAATATTTATCTTCAGTAAAATATATGTTTTGGATTCTTACAAACTTAAATACGTATTATAAACAATTTCGGAAATTTTTTACATCATATTCAAGTCATGATATTACTTTCGCTATATTAAAATAAAATAAATTTAAATGTTCATATATAATGTGAATTATGGTTATTACAAAATGACATTTCATCTACATATTCAATTTGGTTAATATTTTTGAAGTTTATTAGAAGTAAATTATTTTAAAACTTTCAAAATTATGAATGATAATGATTTCTTATATTTACGCGAACACTACAAATTGAATAAAACTACTTTTACGGATTTTATCTCGTTTAATTATACTTATTTTTAATTCCCGAAGTTTCGTGTGCTTCCCCGTGACCATGGGTGATGGAAAGCACCTGAAACGTTGGGAATTAAAAATAAGCATAATTAAACGCGATAAAATCCGTAAAAGTAGTTTTATTCAATTATGAATGAATTTTTCTATACTAAATCAAACGATTCACTGCAAACTTTTTTGTGACTTATTTTGTCTTTTTCATCATAAAGCCTAAAAGTCTACTGCCGGACGTAGGTTCTCCCTCTGGAGGAGGACTTGTCATGATTACCACTCTTAACGAGCCTTTCACGCTGCTCTCCCTTTGCCGGTCAGGGTAATTTATACTTTGCGTTTACTGGGTAATTACCCAAATCACCCATAGTCACCTCTTACATCACCCACAGGTTAACATGAGGTGATGGATGAACTCGTACGCCTCTACCGCACGGCATTTATTTAAAACTACTTAGATATTAATTAAGACATATGGTTTAACTTTGACACCATCACGTTATGAAAGCTATTTCTTTCATGTTACGTTTGGTAACTATGGATGGGTGGCTATGACAATGATACTTGTGAGATAAAATCAGAGATACACGAAGACTCAGTGTCATTGACACGAAGACACACATATATCACATAACTAGAATCAGTAACCGAAAATTTATGCTTTTGCATAAATGTTAGCTTCGAATAAAATTTTGACACACGTTACGTAGCCATGTAATTCGACCACTAGGCCGCGTGGTTGGTCACCAAAAGGCTAAACGCTTGATTCTCTCTGTCAGAGAAGCGTAGCGTTTACGGCAATTCTTACAAACAGATAGAAGAATATATTCAACTGTATGTTCCGCCGGTACAAACTACGATAAATGACTATGATGATTTTAATCAAACTTTTTTATAATTTTACATTTTCATAACTTTAAAATATGCATAGGTATGTCTGTTGTAATACACATATGTAAATTGCATTGGTTGGCCGCAGGTGCCTGTATGCTGCGGTGTCTCTGTAACCAGCAAGTGCATTTCGAACTCATGTCAATTCATTTTAATAACAATTATATAAAAAATAATTGATGTACTTACATAAGACGTAAATAATAAATATTTTGCAAATGACGTAAAATTTAATTAATACTTCAGTAATAAAATGTTAATTAAGAATCATTTATTACTGTAGTATAATGATCGTTAAATAGACAATATTTTCTCAAAACAGGAGTCTCTTTAGATAAGATAAAATATGTTGATAAAATATTGATTTGACGTCTAGTTCGTATAAATCGTTTTGGCAAATTATAATCACTACAAATATCCGGTTGTACGTCACAAGTTATATTTAAACTTAACCAATGTAGATATTTAGATGTTTAATAATTACAAATTGGCATTTATATTGCCTTATAGTTTGCTTCAACTTTTTAAGGCTTATTAATGAAATTAGATACAATATTTTAGATTTTATTTCGATGCGTATTATACAAAATTTATCATAATTTTATTCATACACGAATTTTTTACAAGAACTTATTCAAATAACAGCATAATTTGAATTGATTTATGACCTGTCGTGAAAGTACTATATATATTTGATTTATTTTTCAGATGATTGAACAGAAAATGTTTACTTTTTTTGTATGTTTAACAATATGTATGCTTCAAGTGAAATGTGCTGACAAGTATACGGATGAAAATAGACCTTACGAATTTGGATTCACTATAGACGGAGAACAGCATCGCCACGAAAAGAAAGGTATAAAATAATTATAAATATTAAATTCATTCATTCATTCATTACAGCCTATCAGTCTACTGCTGAACATAAATAGAAAGAAGAACATAGATTGCCTCACAAGAGGGATATTTTCCATAGTTATCACGCAGTATTTATTAATGTTAATATTTAATGTTATAATAAAATCAATAGTACAACAAAAGCTAATTTTAAATTATTATTTTTATTGAAATATACTAATGCCTTTAAACTGCTAAACTTATTACAATACATAAGCGTTTAATTTACTACGTTATGTAAATCTCTATGAATACTAGAACAGTAGCGATACAGCTAGCAAAGTAGAAGTATTTAACGACCTGGTAAGATATGCAGGAAGTCGATGGATGCAGGTGGCTCAGGACCGTGTTTTGTGGCATTCTTTGGGGGAGGCCTATGTTCAGCAGTGGACTTGTGAAGGGCTGTAATGATGATGATGATGATGATGAAGTATTTAGACAAAACAATTATTATATAAAATATTTATATATATGATAAATATTTACATACAAATATTTATCATATCTTGTCAATTTTGGGCTTAAATTTTCTGATAATATTTTTGTTAAAAATACAGACATGGTCTCTGTATCTAATAATTATTATAGTTATGCTATTTTAGTAATAGCAGCCACAATTCTTCCTTTTTTTGGATGTATAGAAGTAAACTCAAAGCACAGAATAAATAACTCGAAGTAAAATTTACATACGGTAAAAATGCAATTACACGAAATGGCCATAGTTTCAAAGTTATAAAAATACTACTGAAGTATGCTGTCTCTTCAAATCAAAATGATCGAGAACAAAAGAGACAATCGGTTTTGGATCCACTAGAAATTTTAACGTAACTTAATTTTATTACACATAAAAAGATACCTATTTATAATAGTAAATGGCCTAAAGATTTTACGAAAAATCAACCGGAGTCATGAAACTGGAAAAAAAACATAGTTGTTTAGATATTCGTGGTCTGGCTAAAGTAATATGGAAAAAAAAGCGTGTTCCTAAGAACGAACTACTAAAAGAATTTTCCATCAATCTTAAAGTATCTATTAATGCTGAATGTACCTACAACTTTTGTTATACTATTAATTATTGACCAGTGCACCTATCATCACTGATATCGTCAGAGGCATAAAAAATGCCAGAAAATATCTTATGACTTCGGTAAATAACGGTACCCGATGTAAAATGATCCGCGACGATGAGCAACGTTAAAGATGCAAGACGTAGTAGAGGTAGTACTATCCCCCTAATAAAAGGGAACATTTTCCGTTATCACCATGTTTGGCGACCTGATTGGAGACCGCAGCTTTTTTTTGTTATTAGCGTGACGCTGCTGCTCATCTTCTGGTTTTTTTCCCTTTGTCGCCTCTTACGATACCCACGCGACCATAATAAATTTGTGGATATTCTTACACCGCCACTAAACGGTGAACAACAAATGTAAATAAGTAATAAAACTTGCGTTAATATGAAGCTTTATATCTCAACATATAGCTTTTTATTAACGTAAATTTTATTATCCATTTATACAAAGTATTGTGTATATTTTATAAAAGAAGCCTTGACGCCTATTTTTAAGTTCTAGACATAATTATGGTGTATTATTCAAATATTAAACACGTGTTACATACAAACGTGTCATTTAAATTTACATACTTTACGCGCTTATGTTTTACTATGAATCTTATATTAACTTTGATCGAAGCCCTCATGAAATCCACTATATTGCTTGGATATCATTAAAAATTAAAAATGTTGTACCATAGATTTCAATATAAATTATTAAGAATAACTCAAAGACTATTGTTCAAACCTTGATCAAATTTATATGGGACTACACGTAAGGGACCAGCTTTCAATTAAAAAAAGAATCACTAAAATCGGTTCACCCAGTAAAAAGTTATGAGGTAACACACATAAAAAAACATACAGTCGAATTGAGTACCGTCTCCTTTTTGAAATCGGTAGAAAAACTAATACGAAAAGTTCAATAAATATTGACATCATCAGATAATTATCAAAAAGTAGTTGATGATCGACAAATAACTTTGGACTTAAATTACATTCATATTTTTCATCAATTACTATACAAATATACATATTTGGTTGCATCACTTTAAGAATCATTAATTACTTCCGCGTCATTCTTTAGCAAATGACCTTGTTGTCTCGTGCAATATGATGTTGTAAAATACGAGTACATAAAATAGGCCTTATTATGCATCGAATCAATTGACGTCTTTAGTAAGTTTTTTTTTCTTTCTGTTTATTTCAGATGAGAATGGAATCATTATGGGGGAATTCGGCTTTATTACTGCGGATGGTGTCTATCACGTTACAGTTTATGCTACCGATGAAAATGGAGGTTTTAAGATTTTGTCAATGAAAAATATTCGAGTAAAGCCATGTGAGTTAAAACTATGCTATTTTTTTACTATAAGGTTTCAATATCATTTTTTTTATAGAATTTAACGATGACAAACAAGCACACAGTCCACCTGATGGCAAGTAGATGCTGTGGCCCATAGACATCTGCATCTATCTTCGATTCGGAATCAAAATGCAGATACGTTGCCACCCCTGAGGACTAAGATGGAATGCCTAGTATCCAGTAAAAAGGGTCTTCGGTTCTCTACACTCACCATACGAAGCACAGCAGCATTAGGCCGCTAATTTACGCTGGTATTCTGTGAGAGCGTGGTCCTACCCCGGTTGAGCCGACCCATTCATGCTACAACAAGCTTGGCTCTACCACGTAGAAAAATGCTGCGTAGTACTATTATTTATTCTATGGTTATATTTTATGGTTATACAGGATAAAAAGTTCGAAAATTCCCTCTGTTACTCAATACAAGTGTTTCATTAAATATTACGAGGCGTAATTTGCACCTAATTTTCCATATTAGGGTTAAATTCTGCTGTCTGTCTGTCTATTTGTTCGTATGTCATGGATCTTTAGCTCGTTAAACTCTGTTATATACAATACAATACTCTTCATTGTACATCAACAAAAATTAAAAACATCAAAAAGAAAAAATAAACAATTATTGAGGGATATAAATACAAAGGGCGGTCTTATTGCTACATAGCAATATCTTTCAGACAACCCAGAAGAAGAAATAAATAAAAATAAGAAAAATAACAATGGGTAGAGTGCACTAAAATAAAAATAAAATTGAAGTAAAATAAAAATAAAGATACAAGCTTATGCATTTAAAATACAACATTCTTCGGGTATATCAATGACCATAATAAAGTGGAGGAAGGGAGATTGGTTAGAGAGACAAATATTATTCCTTTACCTGTTTCTGGAACACATATAAGGATCGAGCACTTTTAATTGACTGGGTAAGGAGTTCCAAAGTCTTTCTCTAAGAACAGAAAATGATTTGTCATAACAAGTCGAGGAGTGCACAGAACATTGGAGGGAAAGATTCTTTGGATCGTAAGGAAAAATTATGACAGGAACTGAGCAATTTAAAACGTTCTTTTAGATAGGAAGGACCTGATAAATTAAATTAAATGCAGTAGAGAGCAGAAAGTATATGAGTATTCCGACGAAGACGGATTGGGAGCCACTTGAGCTTAGTGCGGTATTCTGAGACATGGTCATATTATATGAAGCCCAAATATGAACCGTATACAGAGATTTGTAAGTCGCTCAAGTTTTTTAGGTTGCTGATATCAAGGTCAACAAATGTCAACATAGTCGAGGATAGGGAGTAGTAAAGATTGTGCAAGCGTAATTTTGGTGGAAATGGGTAAAAAGTAGTTAAGCCTCCGGAGTGAAGCAAATGCTGCAAACATTTTACGGCTCACTGCATTGATTTGGGGAGTCCAAGAAAGACTGGAATTCAAACGGATGCCTAAATTTTTGACAACGTCATAATAAGGGATAGGACCTCCATTAAATATAACGGGTTCTAGTTGACATTTTTGGACACCATTCTTGAACTCCCAATAATTATAGCTTGGGATTTTGAAAAGTTCACCGTTAATGCATAAGAACGACTCCAGTCGGGAATACATGCCAGATCTTTACCTTATTGATACATTCCACTGCTTTGAAAAGATCTTCAATGGTTGTTTGTAAGTTTATTTGGAGATCATCTGCATACAAGTGCTAGAGAGAAGATATTTGGTATGTAATCGTATTAATAAAGATTGCGAATAAAAGAGGAGATAAGACGCCACCTTGTGGAACGCCAGCTACTGTATTAAGCCACGAAGAAAGTCTATCTTGGACAGGAATATGTTGCCGACGCCCATAGAAATAACTATGAAGACAGAAAATTACAGTTGGAGATATGTTAAGAGAACGCAAAATCCCTAACAGGATGTCATGATCAACAGTATTGAAGGCATTGCTGATATCCAGCAACACTAATAATGTGACTTGATGATTTTCCATACCGTGGCGAATGTCGTCCGTGATCTTCAATAACGCCGTAGTCATACTATGACAAGATCTAAAGCCGGATTGGAAAGGGTTGAGGATGCTATTTCTTTAAAATAAAAAGGAATTCATTTGTTGTTGCACAAGGCGTTCTAATACTTTGAAAAGGAAAGGAAGAATTTAAATAGGATGATATTCATAATAATTTAAAATTAAAAATTTTGTACAGCCGACTTCAATATAAGTTATTTAAGAATAACTTAAAAACTATTGGTCTGACCTTGATCAAATTCATATGGGACCTCACGAGAAGTACCAGCTTTCAAATAAAAAAAGAATCATCGAAATCGGTTCACCCAGAAAAAAGTTCTGAGGTAACACACATAAAAAAAAAACATACAGTCGAATTGAGTACCGGCTCCTTTTTGGAAGTCGGCAGAAAACTAGAAGGATTTGGTTTTTTGGGTATAGGTATGATTTGGGTGTCCTTTAATTTGTTAGGGAAAGAAGATGAGGATATGGAAAAGTTTAAGATATATGTTATAATAGCTGTTAAAAATCTAACAAGGGAATGATCATTTTACGACTGACGTCATCACTTCCGACAGCGCCAGAATGAACAGAGAGAATGTGTTTCCTAACATCACAATTTTATATAGTGGTAGAGCCACGCGACAGCTTTTGCTGTCGCACGGATGGGCCGGCTCAAACCGGGGTGGTACCACGACCTCACAGAATACAAGCGTGAAGTAGAGGTTTACCTCTGCGTTTCGCTCGGTGAGTGCAGGTGGCCGGAGGCCCTTTTTACTGGAAAAGAGGCATTCCACCTTAGTCCTCAACTAGTGACAACGCATCTGCATTTTGATTCGCAAACGAGGATAGATGTAGATGTCTATGGGCCACAGCTACCACTTACCATCAGGTGGACTGTGTGCTCGTTTGTCACTCTATCCTATAAAAAAAAACAATTTGCAAATTGCCTAAACACAAATGGGGAAAAGTCAGAAGTGGGAAACGATGAAAGTTGAGTAAGTGTTGTTGATTTTTCCATATTATCCAAGCAAGAAACAGAAGAAAAATGCCGATTTAACACATTTAAATCGACGTTATTTGGTATGGGGCACGAACGTGTTTTCCCCACTCCTATGGACCTTAAAAAGTTCCAAACACGACATGGATCTTCGTTTTTTACTGATTTATGGGTATGGCGGCGTCGTAAATCTCTACACATCTTGTTGCATTGATTCCGCAGGAGTCTGTACTTCTCCCGAATCCTGTCATTCTTTGGATCTCACTTGTAAGTCGACTTTGCGTTATTTTTCCTAACTATCAATCTTTTAAGATCTTCAGTCAACCACGGGGCTGGAGGATGACGTTTTCGTAATGGACAGATTGAAGCATAAGTAGATGTCATAGAGCTGAACAAGAAGTGAATTAAACAATGCTATCTGTTCGTCAACAGAGCAAGCCTTTGTTATAATACTTCAGTCCATATTAGCAGCGTCTTTTTGTAGGTTTTCCAAGGCCATTTTCTCAAAATTACGCTGTAGAAATATCTTTGATTTGGATTTCGGTGGTCTCATTTTATAAGATAGAAACAGGAGGTTAGAAATAGGAAAAAGCGTTGGAAGCACATTGACCAAATTTATTAACATAGTCGAGACAAGAAACCATAACCAAATCAAGGAGGGATGGGATACAGTTAGGCATAAAATGAGTTTCAGAAAGAGAAAGTATATTTAAATTGGCTGCTTCTATAAGAGACTTAAGCCGAAGAGATCTGGCATCATTCTTAAGAAGACAAGTATTAAAATCGCCCATTAACACTGAATATGTATATAATAGAGTTAGCTCTTCAGGAAGGTTATCCAATGTAGTAAAATAGTCAACTGTGGAAGAAGGACTATAAAAAATTCTGAGAAGTAATTTGTTGTGCAAAAGAAGTACTTCAATAAATAAGTATTCTGCTTCATTCTAAGCTAGAAATTGAGATGATCAACGAACAATAAAAAAGGTATATGCGCACGAAAATAAATGGCAACACCACCACCACCGCGCGCAGTTCGGTCGTTGCGTATTAACTGGAATCCTGGAATGGAATAGCATATACATGAAAGACATGACTTTAACCATGACTCCGAAACGAGAATTGCATGAACGTTATCACTTACAAAGCTAGCTAAGATATCGGGATAATGACCCGGAATACTTTGCGCATTTATGTGAACTATATTGAAGTTTTTTAGAGCTTGAGAAAATGGGAGTCAAGATTTTAATGGAGGAATGCTCTCAAAACTGTCATCATTACTTAGTACATTGTATGCTGAAATGAAATAAGAGGAGTTTTGATTGTGATCACTTTCACCAAAAGACAAGTTATATTTTACAACAAACTGTGTTTTTGTGTCGAAATTCAGATGGACTCTTCTCTCCTTCAAAAACCGTTTTCAGAAATGAGCAGAAGCGATTAGAGGTCGTTAGGGGACTGATTACAAGTTACATCTATAAATATCGTTTTTATTTATTAAATCTTATTCTAGAAAAATAATTATAATGTTAGGAAACAATTATTATGATAATGGTTATATGGAATAGAACACACAATACACTACTCTGCATTATAGAATGTGCGGCCACTGTACTGAGGTCTGAAATTTAATCATCATCAGTACAGCTTTCACAAGTTTCACTGCTGAACATAAGCCTCCCCTAAGAAATGCCCCAAAGCATGGTTCTGCGCCACCTGCATCCATCAACTTCCCGCACAATCGCCAATCCATCTAGTGGGACCGCGCTACACTTCATTTACCGGTTCAAGGTTGCCACTCGAGAAGCTTTCCACCCATCAGTTGTCGTTTCTCCGAGCTAGCAGTGAAGGACCACATCTCAAATCCATATGTCATCACTGCCAGTACGCACTTGTTGTACAATCTTGTTTTCAATTTTTGAGTCGATGTTTTATAATCTCCCGAATGCTGCCCAGTCTAGTTAAATCCGTTGATTGACTTCTCGGCCGAAGTTGGACTTACCTAGTCGCCAAAACATCCCGTAAACATCACGTCGATAACTTAGAGCGTAGAGCTCCCAACAACTGCTGGTATAGGTATAGCATGGAGGTTACACATGATCTTTGTTTTGTTCGTGTTGTTTTATCCGTTGGGAGACACTATTGAGGTCGTTGAGCATAGTTCTGGCTTCAAGTGATTCTGTCATAAGGTCTATATCGTCGGCAAATCGAAGGTGAGTGATGTACTCACCATTGATGTTAATACCGTATTCTTTCCGGTCCAGTAGCTTGAAAACGTCTTTTGATGCAGCGGTGAAGACTTTCGAAAATATAACCCTATCTTACACATCTCTGCATTTAGATAGGTTTCATGCTCTGTTTCTGTACTCGGATGGTCATCCTAACCTACTGTACAAACACTTGAGCACTTTGATGTAACCGACAGTCGACAGAATCAAAAACTATCCGACAGTCCACATACACAAGACAAAGTGGCAGATTGTACTCTTCGATCTTCTGCTCAATTTGCCGAAAGGTATGTCTATGGTACTAAAGCCTTTTTGGAAACCTGCTTATTCGAGAGGTTGGAAGTCGTCGAGTTAGCATGCAAGACGATTTGTGATGACTCCCGAATAATGCAATGCAATTTAATACTATTATAAGCTTACTACTACATAGACATCTTGAAGGAGTTACCCATAGTTACCATGCTTGGCTGACGGTTTGAAAGGGCAGAGTTCAGACCTGTGTGAATTGAGTTGTGTACTTATTACGTTATTTCTAAAGAATTTTATGCTATCAGCTAGTCGACAGACTGTCGTTCATCATTCAGCACGCCACATATCGATGATGTATGTTGAAGTACGAGTATTTGGTATATTTTTTTATCATTCCCAATATCTTTAATTACAGATCCAACCGCTAAAACTGGTGCAGAAAAAGGGCGATCACTTGAATTCCCACCTTCACAGCAAATGTCAATGAATGCAGCGGCACCAACTTTGAGTACCTCTCGTCAAGAACCTCAAAAGCCGGGTCCAGCGTCACTCACAAAATCTTGTTCACATTGTAGCATTCCTACTACAACAACTCAAGCACCATTTACTTCAAATAGTGGTGTAGAGCAAATACCAGCCATTTCTCAAGAACCGGACATGCTACCAAAATACAATCAAGGTCAAAAAAATTATCCTAAACAAAGTGCCTTTGGTAGCCCTCAGAGCAATTCACAACAATTTGGCAACGGACAAAATTATCCTCTAAAACAGGATGCTGAATTGCCACAGAAATATCCGCAATTAGATCAAAACCCAGGCGAAAAATATCCTCAACAAGGAAGGTCAAACAATGGACATAATTATCAAGCAACCGCTGGTGTTGCACCGCAAATTAAAGAACAGCCTAATTATTCACAACAATTAGGCAATGCTGGACTGAGTAATCCTCAATCACATCTAAGTAACCAATATCAAGGTCAAAATTTGCAATCAGGAATAAATCGAAACCCTAAATCATATGACGAACAGTCACAACAACAGCTAAGACCGCAACAGCAACAACAATACTTTACGGGAAGCACCTCAACCAATTCATTTGAATCAAGTAAAGAAAACTCGCTACCCAAGAAACCAATATTGATATCAGCTCAGATGCAAATAGTTGATAAAAATACTGACATCCACTACAAACGGCCCGGCGAGAAAGATGGTTTGCCTGAAGGTTTAACTAAGGACGATATGACTCAACTTTTATATACGTTCAATTACACAGTAGGGTTCCATGGACACTTCGAAGAAGGTTATACGAATGGAGCAAAACAAGGTTATTATTATGTTACTGGACGGAATGGAATCAGAACAAGAATTGATTACGTTGCTGATGAACATGGTTTCCGGCCTAAAATTACACAAGAAGTTCTCGATTTATTATCAGACGATGTTCCTAAACCGGAAACAGAAAAAGACGCAAAATACGGACTTAAAGGCTATGAATTCAAATGGATCTATTATCCACTTGATTCAAATCGTTCTTAAGAGGTATATATTTCTATGTGAAAGAATGTAAGACAGTTTTATAAATAATGCATGCATTATACTAATTTGTAAATATTTAGGTTATTAAAATATTGCGACGCCAGATTGATTAAAGACTGAAATTAGAAAATGCTATAAAAAGTTCTTGCATTTGCTTGAAGATTTACTTGTGATTATTACAATAAAAATATACAAAAATGTCAATTTAATTATAATTAAAGTCGCAACTCATTAAAAGTTATACCAGATAGCAAATAGATTAAAGTGGTTAATATACTGTACTGTAAAACAAAGTGAACGAGCACTTGTCATGAGATTTTCACTGCCTAAAACTGCCATAAATAACATTTAATAGTAGTAGTAGTAATAGTTATAGTAACGACATTAGATTTTTGTAAATAAATGAAGTTAAATATTTTACGATTTTGATTTAATTTTTCTGTTGCGGGAACACAGATTCGCTTCAAATTATAATTCGTTTTTAATATATATATTAATAATACAAAACAAATTACATAAGTGAATTAAATTACTTATGGCTAGTACATAAAAAAAGTCACTATATTTTCTAGCCAAATCAAAAAGCCATTAAGTGCCTTAATTATAATTAAAAATTTGTGATTTTTAATTATAATTAAATCTCTGTGATTTTCTGTGAAGCACAAAATCGTAAAAGTTTTAAACATTTTAAAGACATGAGAAGACTTCACAACACACACATTGGGGTGGCGTGAAACACTCTGATCAGCAGTGGGACGTTCTTTTGTAGGTTGTATAGAGTATTTTGTTACTTGTAGTAGACCACGGGAGATCGACCTTCACTCGTCTGATAACCAGATCAGACCTATTATTTATGAAATGTTTATTTTTTAAACACGCCTATGATAGTTTGTGTTTCGAAAATTGTTCATGGCTATTTTTAATTTAATTAATTTTAATCAATTTTTTTCATAACCTTAACTCTTTTGATAACCAAACAAAAGTTTAAACACATAGTTTTTAACATGGAGAATATGCCTTGGTAGGCTTGCCTACTTATTTCTGTTCATGCCTACCTGGCGAGCAGGTGAAAACTGGAAAGTCAATATAGGTACCTACACCGATATGAAAACCAATAAAAATTGGTATCAAGAGAAAGATAATTTACTTACGAAAAGAATCGTATAGGCTTGCCTAACCGTTCATGGAATATTATTACCATGCTTTAAAGTTTTAAAATCGGAGCAATTAAATACCTATGTGCGAGAGAGAAAATAGAGCGTCCGAAGGCCGTGTGATGGAACAGGACACAACTATTTTTAATTCGTTTTATTAATCAGGGTAACTTAACTTTAGGATTAAAAATATATTTTTGTATTAATTTTGTTTAATTATTTATTTATATGATTATTATATACCTATAAGTATGTGTATTTTATAGTGATATACTTTTTTATAGGATAAGGGTGATAATCGAGCACACAGTCCACCTGATGCTAAGTGGTTGCTGTGGCCCATAGACATCTACATCTATACACGATTACGTATCAAAATGCAGATACGTTGTCAGCCATGAGGACTAAGATGGAATGCCTCGTTTCCAGTAAAAAGGGTTTCCGGTTCTCTACACTCACCATACGAAACACAGCAGCGTTAGGCTGCTATTTTATGTTGGTATTCTGTGCGAGCGTGGTCCTTCCCCAGTCGAGCCGACCCATTCGTGCTACAACTATACGACTAATATAGCTGCAGCATGACTCAACCAATTTTCTACGATAAATAAATACTGTCTCTGTCAGTCGCATTTAAAAAAGAATGCGCACTGGGTCACATTCAACAGACATGTCAAGCTGATATGTTGTGTCCTGTTTCATACTAGGTCAACTCAAACTGCAGCAAATAGCTACAGCGCTCATTTCCAGTTGATACCAAAAGCTTCGTATAAGTCGCGAGTATTTAAATAAATACAATTATTACTAATTTATTAGCACTAATAAAATTTATTTAAAGCAAGCAAAAAACAAGTAAATAAAGAAACTAAATGTTTATTGGCTTAAAACAGTTATTGCGTCTATAATAGATCTGGTGTGTTTCCTGATTTAATGAAGCATAGAAAAGTAATACCTTTATTTAAATCTGGTAATACATTAGACGCCACCAATTTTAGACCTATTTCCAATTATATTTCAATATTACTAGCAACACTTAGTAAGATTTTTGAAAAACTTAGTCTTGATCAAATGTAAAAAAATATAAATAATTTACTTCATAAAAATCAATTTGGTTTCACAAGGGGTCGCTCGACAACTACTGCCGTTGTTGAGCTGATTAAATTATTCTTAATGCATGGGAGAATTCACAGGATGCTTTAGGTATATTCTGTGACCTATCCAAGGCCTTCGATTGTGTTCATCATGAAATATTAATCAGGAAACTTCAACACTACGGTGTAAGAAATGATTCTCTTAAATTAATTATTTCATATTTAAATAACAGACCGCAAAAATTCGTCATTAACAGTATGAGTTCTTCCGTGTTGATGGTAGAAATAGGCGTGCCTCAAGGCTCAATTCTCAGCCCTTTTCTGTTTCTTGTATACATTAATCATTTACCTTACATAGTAGAGGATAACCATGATATAGTATTATTTGCTGATGACACTTTTTAATTTTTAATTTGAATTTCGTTAATTTTGAGATTAAGATTTGAAATTACTAAAATATGACTAAGTAATTAATGCTATATCTAAATTAGTAAATTGGTTTAATGATAATAATAAGTATTTAAATGGCGCTAAAACGAAATGTATGAAATTCATGACTCCAAAAGTCAAACGATTAAATACTAATGTAATTTTAAATGGGGGAGAAACAGTCTTGTCGATACCACCATTTTTCTTGGAATCACACTAGACGCGAAGCTTAAGGAGCCCCCACATATCAAAACTAGCAAGCAAACTTAGTTCTGCAGCATATGCTGTAAAAAATATTAGAAGTCGTATGGTATTTTACTATGGGGACACGCAATTGACACTGAAATTATATTTCTTTTACATAAGAGGGCCTTTAAGATTAATGAAGTATAGTAGTATAATTGAAGATAAGATTTATGATATAAAGCCTAAAGAGTCGCTGCGAGAAAAATTTAAGGAAATTAATATATTAACTTTGGCCTCTCAATAAATTTATGAAATGTAATGTACGTACAGAAAAATAAAAGTAGTGTTACAAAAATAAGTGATATTCATTCTGTAAATAGGTACAAAGAACAGTCACAAGCTAGTAATACCAGTTACTCGACCCCACCGAGTCACTAATTCATTCTTGGGGCGATGTATACGCTTTTATAACAATATTCCATAAAATATTCAAAATTTGACCTGCTCAAAGTTCAAAAACTTTATTCAACTTAGTTTGTATAAAAAGGGTTATTATAATATTAAGGAATTTGTGGTTGATAATCACGAAATTATAATATTAAGGAATTTGTGGTTCAAGAAACGAGCCTACTCCTTTTCAAAAGGCCGGCAATGCATCTGCAATTCCCCTGGTGTTGCAGTTGTTCATGGGCGGCGGTGGTCACTTACCATGAGGTGAGCCGCATCCTCGTTTGCCGACTCTTCTATAAAAAACCCCTGGGAATGGGATGATCGCTACCATGCTATTTCTAATTTGTTTCGTGTTGTTAATTGTGTAAAATAAATGATTATAAGCTGTTATTTAAAAAAAAGGACAGGACCCAGGACAGAGGTTTTTTTCGAACCAGTGGTAATTAAACAAAAGAGTGATTTTCAATAAGTATTATTTATAATCTATACTAGCCGACCAGGCAGACGTTTTTCTGCCCTTATCGATGACCCTTCATATAAAAAAACCTTAAATTCTTATTAAAAAATTATTGAGTGTCACTTATCAGGATAAAAACTATCCTATCTCTCAAGTTGGACCAAACTGCACAGAGTGTGCAAAATTTCATTGAAATCAGTTCAGTAGTTTAGGAGTTCATCGCGGACAAACAACGTGACATGTAATTTTTATATATAAAGACTAGCTCGCCAGGTAGACGTTGTTCTGCCCTTTCCGACGACCCTTCCTATAAAAAAAATCCTTAGATTCGCAATAAAAATATTGAAGGTCACTTATCGGGATAAAAAAAATCCTATATCTCAAGTTGGACCAAACTGCACACAGTGTGCAAAACTTCATTGCAATCAGTTCAGTAGTTTAGGAGTTCATCAATTTTTATATATAAAGATTGAATAAAAAAAAGTTTCTGAAAGTTTTGTATTGATGTATTGATGGAGCATTCTCAGTTGTGACGATTCTAGTCTAAAAATACTTTACACACTAAAAATGGAAGTAAATTTGTTTCATCTTTTTCAACTATTAACCTTAAGTAGGATATTCATTCATCACTATTGGTTAGCACACGAATAAACTAGCAACGTTACTGAAATTGTTATTGCAATAATTATATATGCCACTTTAGCAAGTACGAGTTGTTGAACTAAAAGCTCGTTAAGAAATCTGCATATCAGGAAAGTTAAAGATGATACGAGGCCCAAAATGTCTGCCAAACGGCAATGGAGAAGCAATCGTGCTTCTTTTAGAGATATTTAGAGAAATCTTTCAGATTTACCCTGATTCATAAGTTTTTATTTAATATGATGATTCATTATTGACGTAAGCGCGGGACCCGTAGCTTGTTATCGTTCAAAACTTGCTTGACGTGTTGGAGCTCGACGACCAGGTGTTTACTGTCACAGATCCTTCGTAATCTCTGAAATAAAGGCTTGCCCACGGTATCTAAATTTGAAGGACAATGGTCAGAAGTACTGTTTAAATATCTATCGGTATGGGTTTTTTTTTCTATACATAGTGTGACTCAAAGTGCTATCAGGATTCCGAATCAGAAAAACTAAAGAATAATTTGCCTCTAACTCCATTGTGAACTGAATTTTAGAAATAATGGAGTTAAGTTTGCCTGCTGTAATACCGTACATGTGTCAATGACAAGATCGG